TTGAAGTACGGTCTTTTGTTACAGGGCCCTGTTTCCTTTGTCCGAGTTCGAAGACCCCGGCCACGCATATAAACCATACGTCTCCGATTCCGGAGTCCCCGGCAGGAAGTGGTTAAAAGAGCAGCTGTCTGTCTCTGGCAAGACAGTACCACTGTTGTTTGATTTCAGAAGTTCAGAGAATTTCCAGTGCTGTGGATCTTTACCATTGTGTTCCATTGTGTTGATTGGATTGTACGGATCAATATATTCTTGTCCCAGAATTTTTCCTCCATGATCATGCATTGCTGACATAATTTTTTTCTCATATTGCAGAATAATGTAGCATTTGTGTCTAAAAAATGCATTTCTGTGCTCATAACAGTTATTTAGTCACCACTTGTCCAGAAAAAAAGGAACAGTTTGAAGTGTTTCAATAAGTTAAATACTCTTAGCCCGCAGGGGATGTCGGATGGTTTTCATGCATTGAATAGGAGTTTGAAGTTGCACAAAAATTGTCTCTGCAAAATATTCCCAGCATGGACCGTTCAAAAACAATTGCACGACCTAACCGTGACGCATGCACTCTGCTGTGTAGCCTTAGATCACACAGAATGTCCTTGGATGTGTAGCATATTGTACAAAGTGAGCAATAACTCTGTAAAGTTTGGATGCTTGTGCCTGGTTTCTGATAGGCTACCACCAAGTCCAACCTGGATCGCTTTGCCGGCAAGAGCAGCATATCCAGCTCTGACTTCTACGGGGACCAATCATCTTCCAGGAGCTCGTACTCCTCTGGGACCGATATGGCAGCCATCAAAGATGGCATGAAGGACAGTGTGACGCAGGTTGCCGGCAGGCTATCTCGGATGGCCAACGGCCTCATGAGCTCTATACAGGTAAAATGCTGGGGTCCGCCCTCTACACTAGTGGCTCAGAAAGTGTACAGGAATACTTCAGATTCCTAAAGGTTTTTTGAAGAATTTCGCCACTCCGAATGTGGACTACTCGGAAATTCTGAACAGTGATTACTTAACTCCAGTATTCGAGACACATCACATGTGCACACATTTGCCAGAGTACGCACAGCCCAAGTTTTCATCATAATCTACACAAATCTAGTGTGTCCCAGGGCTGAGTAAGTGAATAATTCAGTATGTGAATATTTGACCCTTCATTCAGCCAAGTATTCCATCATTCAGTTAGATGCACAGTAGGAGCTGAACCTAGGAGTGGTTGAAGATGAGAAGACAAATACAAACAGTGGTTGGTGTCAAATGCAGTTGCAATGTGCAACATGTTGAGAATGATTGAAGTGTTTTATGAAGAAAGATACCAACTTCCCTTTAAAAATGGGGTCAACTTTTGAATCTTCAGTTGCAAAGATGTTTGATGTTGAATCAAATATTTCCATATTTGTCATATTTGCCAAAGCTTTTAGCGTGTCTTTGTGTTGTGACAAGGCATTACTTAGTCTGTTGTATCTTTATCTCTGTTAAATATCCTCATGGAGTCCTGTAGGAACAGTGCGTTTTCCCTTTTTGGAACGCCTGTCAATCCACGTCAGTGCTTGTTAATTAGTTTTTTTTCCATCTGTTTTCTCTTTGCAGGATAAATATGGTTACTAGCCTAGTCAGACGAGCCCTCTCCCGTCTTGAGCTGATTTATTGGTAAGACAGAAATGCCTTCAATTCATATTTCCAAGAGTATAAACAGGTACAAACCAGGCACTTTGTAATTGCCATCAAATAGGGCATGTTGTCTTTAAGGATGTCAGATGTTTTTATCAAGATTGTTTGAGAACCACCTGTAGGAATACGTGTTAAGCTGTTTGTACTTGATGTCATTGGCTGTTTCTATTCAGCTACTGCCAGCTACTGATGCAGAAGCCTATGCCTAATCACTACGTGACGAAACTGATGCTTAACAAAAAACTGATCAATTCTCCAGATGTTCAAAATTCAAGCGTATCCTAGCTTTGGGAATGTTCTGTTCTTTTTCTGTAAAGTCTTGTCAAGCAGTATCCACATTTGGTCGCTGCCTGAACTCAAAAATGACACATATCATCAAATTCACATCATTGCAAATCAATTTTGAGCTGTTGAAGTTGTATTTTCATCAGCAAGAGCCGAGGTTATCATTTTGGTTGGGTTTAGTCCCTTAATCTGGACTGTCAAGGTTTTAAGATGGCCTCATTAAGGGCAGTATACAGGCCAGATTCCCCCATTGTTTCGGAGATTTTTTTCAGAATTGGTTTCCCCTGCAGTGCTTTCTCCTGCCAGGACAAAGTGCGTAGGGCGGCAACTTTTGAGAATGTTTAGGGTGCTGTTGAAAAGAAAAATGGGCGAGAGGGAAGTGCTTTGAAATGCTTGAGAAGGACTGTAGATTTGGAAACTTGCTCTGGACGTGCCAGAGAATATCTGACTGGTGTTTCTTTTGGACTAACCTCACACTTCTCTGTTTCGTGCATCTGACGAAAATTTTCTGTACTGGTGCGAAAAAGGTCACATTATTTCAGATGTGTCAAATTTCTGCAAGGTTCACTGCACTTCATTATGAGGCCAGTTCTGCTATTTGAAATGTATATTATGACACAGATGTTATTTTTGGTTTTGTGCACTGTAGTGTCATTTAATAATGCATGCCCACTGCTTAATGCTCAAGTCTGAGGAGCGTAGACTCCCAAGGGACTGGACGTGTACTGGGGTGTTGTCTTTGGGTTAGCAGTTCTGATTTTATTACTTAAGGTTCTCTCAAAGTCATTTTCAAGATTTATTTTGGGCCTTGTGTGAAATATTAATATGTGACTCTTGATAGAGACTCACAGTTATTGTGGAAGTGTGCACCCATTCCTTAAATGAAACTCTTTAATTCCATAGTTTTGAAAAACAGTTCGCAACATGGAAGGGGATCTTGTTTTTGTCTTGTATTTCACCTATATATTTTATAATATAAGTCAATTGCTTTATAAAATAATGCATACATTTTATCTCCAATGTAAATTAAAGATTGAAACTAACCGCTAAATATGGGATGATTTGGAGAACTTGGAAAGAGTGGGAACAGATGAAATACATACAGTATGTCTGCATTTTGGGTATTAAACTAAACCGTAGCTATAGCAACTCCACTGTGATTAGATGGACACCAAAGTTTTGTTGATTTTGGTGAAAATGCAAGAGCCAAGCCACCAGTGCCTGGGATGGAGTGAGCTTGAACTTGGTTTTTTTTTTCTGTGTGAATGTTTAATGTTTTGCGCAGCTAATTGATTTGAAGGGAGTTGGGTAAGGGTCGTGACAAAATTTAGCATTTTTTTCATTGGGAAATACATCAGAACTTGTTCTTTTGGAAAAGGGAAATTTCTCACGAAATCCCATGAAGAATGTCAGTGATTTACCATCTTGAGTCCTTGGGAAATGCCATCCTTTTGGACTACTGGGACAAACCAAAATTTTCTCATCGTGTAAAAAGTGTACATCAACTTGAGAGATCTTTAAGATTACATTTTAAAGGTAAAGGGTTATATGTGTAGTTTCACTTTCTTTCTTTAAATTTAAAACTTTAATGTTGCTATATTTCTCCTTATTTTTTTTTGGAAATAAGCATGATGTATGTTGGTCATAAGTTATGCATTGTGGATTCAACTTGTAACCAGAGGAAAACTGAACAATATCCGAAAATTTAGGGACATGACTGACAGACTAGACAGCAGGGTACAAAATTTTAAAAAAGTAATTCCACTCTTTAAATAGTTTTGAAGTCTAAATATTACAGGCAAGGCTCTTGGAATGCAACCTGACCTTTTTTTTGTTTTATCAAGGAATGGTTGAAATCTGAGGACCCGAGAATCTTGGTTTAATCTGCTCATTCAAATTGATCGTGGACTTGTAAGCTTAAATTTGGAAAGGTTTTGAAAGTCCTAGGTTAAGTGTATTTTTGCTTTTCATTAATTTCAGTTTGAATGTAGCTTTATTAATTTCACTTTTAGACCTTAAAAATATCTCGCTGTCATACTTTGGATTCATTCAGTAATCGTTTCCTTGCTGAATTACAGAATGACTTCATGAAATATCAAACTCAAGTTTTTCCAAGACAGTATAATTATGAGAAGAGTGTTGACAAATTTACCCAACCCCTAAAGTACCGGTATATAGAGTAAAGTTAATGTAACTTAACAATTTAAGGCTTTTCAAGGATTAAAAGGATTTTCAATAAATATACTTATGTCCAAAATATCTTTCAAAATTGTGTTCAGTTGCAGGGTTTTTTTGGGGGGGTCTGTAAACAAAATTGTAATGATCCCTGTTGTCATTTCTGTTTGCCCCACAAGAGTTACCTGGAAACCATAAAACAAATTGTTTAATAAATGTGTGTGACATTAATTACCAGTAATTGGTGATTAATTGCCAAATTAATCACCTCAAGGCGACATATTAAAATATGCCATGTTAAATAGTTCCATGTTGCAACAGCAATAAAGGACTGTTCAATATTGCCTATATGAGAATAAATTGAACAGATCCAACCAGAAATACAATTCAACTTTACAACTTGCTCTTTATGGTGAATTCCCAGTACATGTACATTCAATACGTCTTCCTATCAAATATACAAAAATACATCAGGTTAAATACAACTTATGATACAACCAAGACTTAAATTATTGCAATTTGTATTCATAGTGAAACACTACGTGGCGATATGCCTGGCTGACCTGGGTGTAATTTCAGACAGCCGTTAACGGGAAAGTCAGTAGTACATGTACCTCACACCACATTTTGGCTTGGAATTGTGTTATACCAGACTTTCAGTGCATAGCGCAAAATATGCCAAGGCATAGACCTGAACATCAATTTAGCTCTACTTGAAATCAACAAACCGACCAACAAGCCCCCGGAATGTAATACACAAACCAAATGGTACATGTAAATCCAGGGTGTTGTGCAGGGTGCATCTTAACAGAAAGTAGTTCTGTACAAAGATGCATAGGTAGGCACATTGTTAACCCATGAAAAATATACAGAATGCCTGAGGCTATGCGAAGTAATACAACTAAGCTGTGCAGAACTGGAAGTTTAACTTAGAAGACAAATTACCAGCTAGCAAGGCTAACATTTCCTTAACCAAGCTTTCCAGATGGGAATTACTGTGAAGGACTCAGTTTTTCAAGTTTGTATTTTCTTGACTCAATTCGGTGTCAATTCTCTGCTTCTCCTTGTTTAGCCTAGACTGCAGTTTCATCTCCACGAATACATTTGGATCTCTCCCCCTGTGCAATACAATACACTTTGAGACAATACAGAGTTAAGCATAATAACCTTGACATCAATTATCTGATATTTTTGGTGACAAAATTGTCACGTCAGTGCGACAAGGTCGTATTTGTGCACAAGACAAATGCACTGACGTGACGAAAAAACTTGTGCACTGACGGGACGACATGTACTTTCAACCAATGCTTGTTATGCCCTGTACATATGCAAGTGCCCAATTTACTTGGATGTAGCAAATTTGGTCTTGCGATCTGGGTGGGAAGTTCAGCATCTTTTCCACTTGTTCCATAGAACTTCAAAGTGAATATGTCATGCATACAATTATGAGTGCAGAAGGCAGCCCGAGAACCAGCGCGTGAACCAACACGCGCAAGTACTCCATTTGTTTGCACCTCACTTCCTGGTTCAAAATGACGTCATTTTTTGACTTTTAAGTGATACCCAGGAGTTTCCTAGACTCTGGAAATCCCGAGTATAAGATGAGACATGTCGGCTGAATCTTGACATGTGCAGTTGTGCTCAAAAGTATTCATACCCTTTGGAAAATAATAAACTTTTCTAAATTCTTAATTTTGAAAAGCTATTATGTTGGCACTTCCACTATATCTTTTGTCTGTTTGTTGCAATACACAAATCCACATGTGTACTGGCTAAACTTCATTTGCATAATAATAGATATGGCCCAGGTTTAGTTTTTGCTCCTGTTCAAAAGTATTCATACCCCAGGTTTACATAGTCTGTTGTCTTTTCTTAATAATCAATAGCATAGCCTTTGTTCTTGGTGACTACCTCAAGACGGTTCCTATAAGTGTCCACAAGCTTTCTGCATGTCTACTTTGGGATGTTGGCCCACTCTTCCTTGGTGTCACCCTGACCCAGCTGGAGGCTTTTACCAAGGAAGAGTGGACCAACATCTCACAGGAGACATGCAGAAAGTTTGTGGACACTTATAGGAACCGTCTTGAGGTACATGTAGTCATCAAGAACAAAGGCTATACTATTGACTATTAGGAAAAGACGATGGACTATGTAAACCTGGGGTATGAATACTTTTGAACAGGGGCAAAAATGAAATGCGGGCCATGTCTATTAATATGCAAATGAAGTTTAGCCAATACACAAATGGATTTGTGTATTGCAACAAACAGACAAAAGATATAGTGGAAGTGCCAACATAATAGCTTTTCAGAATTAAGAATTTAGAAAAGTATGTTATTTTCCAAAGGGTATGAACACTTTTGAGCACAACTGTATTTTACTTTGCACTGTTTAAAAACCCACAAACTTGATTAATGGGTAAGATCTGCAGGCAATCGTCAACTGAAGTTGCTTTCAATATTTTGTTTTCCAAATTAAACTGACCTCGGATTATGACTGAATGGTTACACCTGGTTGACCAAATGGTTACACCTGATGTTAACAAAGGTTTCCATTCTTTTGGAAGACACTTTAAGTCATCTATATTTTTTATGCAAATACTAAATTAACCTATTTCAAAGGTAATGAGATTTAGTAGCACATCGCTAAATTAATCTGAACACATTTAAAATCAATAACAAAGATCTGTTTTCAACTGGCTTAAAGGAAATCTTTAGCACAAATTTATGCTACGATTGATTTGTCATCATGGGAGTTCAAGAAAGTGTACATATTCTGTGGCACATTGGTAATAGCTCTGCCTTTATCGTTAACATCTCAATATTCTGAAGCACTAGATCAATTCCAAACTCATCATAAATTATGAAACAGTTGCAATCATTTTTATATTTTGTTGAGCTTTTGTAAACCATCCAGTGCAGCCAAGAATATGCTCCCTGACAATCAATCAAAAGATTGGAACTTTTTGTACAATCACTTGAAATGCATAATGTCGAATGAACTTGAAAAATGTGACATGCCTTGTATTTCATTGCCGTGATATAAACTCGGTCTGAATCTACTGTCTAGAGCTAGGTCTAGGTCTTTACTAGATTGGAAATACACGGAGGCGTGCAGACAATAAACCTAGCCATAGCTCTGGAAGCCCATTTTGGACATGGCCTCTGCCTCAGACTACCCCACTGACAGCAGTCGTTACTCAACCCAACAGAATGAATCGCAAGTCACCGCAGCCACTTCGGAGTTAACTTTAACGCCTTTTAAAGTATCTTGGCATGGTAGAAATCAGTAAGACCCGCATCATTTTCTCCTTACACATGTAATGCCCATTTCCTTTGGGATGCCGAACTGAGTGACACATCGAAACAAAGGAGCTCCATCTGCCCATTCTGATGCAAACCGACACAGAATGACCAAAACATCCCAAACGTCCATAAGGCTCCTTTTGTGGGACCTGGTCACAATTTCAACTTCTGTGCAGGTCCCAATCAACTTGAGGCATGTGCTTCAGACCCTTGTTTTTGTCGGCACTCAAAATATCAACCCAGTGGGATACTGTTGCTAGGTGAGGCAAAAAGCAACTGCTCTAGCTTGTTTGCTCACAGAATCCATTGGTCAAAGGAATGAGGGGGAGTGAGTTTGAAGCTCAAGTACCTGGCCTTGGCCTGCTTTGACACACCACCAAAACGACATATCTGAATTTATCTCAAGAAATTGATTTGGAAGACACCAGTGGAAAGATGAAGGCCATCAACTGCAACTAATAGGTGTATGTTCACAAATGTTCTGACATGGCAAATGCTTAAAATCTAAGAGATGTGTGAGCAATGAATAGCCACAAGGCCAGCCCGGGATATCCCGGTTGCGGGGTTGCAGATGTAGCAAGAAGTGCCATCAAGCCGCAAAGACGTTTTCTCGTGTGATACATGTACGTGGCACATGACAGGAGAGCAGATCATCTAGTGATTTCCAGAAGGGCAATTCTTGCCACACAAGCATGGCTGTTTTCTATCTCAGCTGATACCAAGTGCGCCAGTAAAGTCGACACTCAAAGAGCATGCTGACGAGTGTGCAATAATTCTGAGGAAGCTGCAAGGTGCTGTACTTGGCCTTTCACCGGTACCCTGCATGCAATTCCCAGTACTGTCTGTGACCAAGCTACACCAAGCAGCCAGTGCCGTGTCACATACCAGGTTGTGACTGGTTCCCCGCATCCCACTATATGCAGCACAAGCAAAAATCGGAAGACAGAAATTGGTGCAGCTTATGTCAGAACCCTGTTGGCAACGTGCGAACACTGGGCAGTGAACAGAAAGTAAATAATACACCAAAACCTATATATCTATATATGTACACAGATGGAAGACGCCTGTGCGGTCCTCAGCCCATGTCTTTCAGGACGTGCCACTGGGCCACAGGAGTTCTGGGCTTGTTCAGCATCTCGGCCCAGTGGCTAGTCTCTGAGGGTGAGGCCTTGGGCCCCAGTATGATCCCGCCGATGGTGTCGTTACGTGACAGCCGGTCCTTGTCCACCACTGAGATAATGAAGCTGGTGTCCCGGATCTTATTCAGTGTGACATGGAACATGAAGGAGACATTGAAGACCGGATTCAGGGTGTTGTACTTGACAATGGTCTTCTTCTTCTCAATCTTCTTGTCCTGGTAGACATGCCAGACTTTTACATAAGGATCTGCATGGAAAGAGGTGTATTCAATAATTGACCATGCTTAGTGTCAGGCTAAGCAAAGAATGTGACCAGACATATAAAAACTACATGTACACTCAATAATAACATGCAAAAACCAATGCTTTTAGTTACTGGTCAAAAGACAATGGGGCAAAGTTAGATCAAACTGATGAATTTGTTACTATTCGCACAAACTTTACTTCCTTTTACCTCTCACTTAATCTGCATGTTGATTTTTCACAAGTTTCATATTTCAAGACCCTATAATATGTGACCCGTCATGACAAAATGAGCATAAAGTTGCATTCTGTTCTTTCCTATTTTAAGGGTTCAAAGTCAAATATTGAAGTTGAGGTCAAGTTTGGGGTTTGGTAATATTTGGAAAGAGTAACCCATCTCCTATTTAATTCCAAAAAAGGACAACATTATTTGTGCCTGGGCAGACATGTTGAAACAATGTCGGAAACAAAGACACGAAAGCTGCCAGAATAATGTCACATTGTCACCTTATGCTTTTACCCTAAATGTCCCATGTACATACCACTGGAGAGATCTTTTTCTGCTGAATAAAAAAATACCAGTATCTCAATTTTTGAAAATTCTAACTTTCAACTCATTTTACGGTAACAGGTCACATATACATGCATGAAATGAGCAAGCAAATATGACACTTTATCTGTGATTTTTTTAAAGACATCTGAATACATAAACAGCACATTTGCCCTCCTGCCAGTCAGCAAATATCTGTAACTAACCTGATTTGCCAGTGATATCCTTTGCAGCAAGCCCGTCACATTTCATGATAACTATCGTTATTCTGCCTGCCGTGGGTGCAAAACAGAGAGACACAAGAATCTTGCCCAGCTTTCCCTACAAACCAAACAGATTTACAAATTCAAAGATGAAATCAGTCTGTTTATTTAAGTTCAGTTCTGGCAGTGTGCTGTTATCCATTAAAGTTCCCTTTGGTCCACGGCTCGATTTACCTGGTGCCCGTGTGCACCAGTGCATGTAGATTTTTGCTTGTGCACCTAGCTTTTTAACTGAGTATGCACGACATGCGTGTAACTTTTTAACCACCAAAACACTCATTTCCTGCATATATTTACCAATAAGTGAGAATAAGGATAAAGTTTGTTGAATTCTTGACCAGATAGTGTACGAACGTGTTATTTCTTTCTCCCATTCCTCGCAGCAGATTCATAATACACGTACACACCCAACCTTCTCTTTGGCTTATAATCCTTAACTTGCTATATACAGGAGTATGTGCTACCGGTATTTGCCAAATTATGGTGCATGTAGGATTTTCCTGGTGCATGTAGGTTTTTTGGGTCTACATGCACCAGTGCATGCCCCTTTTTTTGGTAAATTGAGCCCTGCTTTGGCTCACGGTATAAAATGAAAAGAGAAAGTACCTGAAGGTTGATGCAACATAATGCGTAGAAACTGTGGTCTACTCACGGGCAAGGGCAGATTCAGAAGTTTATTGCCTGGGACAGGAAGGGCCAAATTTCTTTTTTTGGGGGGGGGATGTGAGATTTTGTGCATCCTTTGTTGTCTTTTGGTGGGGATTGAATAAGTTTTGAGGGTCGAGCACTCATGGAAAGAATGAAAATGAAATTGCTCTTCTCTCATCATATTCAAATAGAAACAATTGCCCCTGGGGGGAGGCTATGGTAATTAGGCTGTGGTCCCCTTTTGATCTGCTATTGCCAACAGGCAGCAACAGGGGAGGGTATGTTATGTGCCCACTCTGCATGGGTACATGTACCTGTCATAGTTTACTAGGCCAAGTTTGGGAAAAGTGCTCAGGGAACATGTACATGTATGTAACCAATTTTCACCTGAAGTTAAAACCTGAAGTGCATCGGAACAAGGGAACACTACAGAATCAAACTGAAATGCCTACGTGCATACAGGTAATTCATTCACTGCACAAAATGCACACTGGGCCTGTAGTGTGGGGTACCAATACCTGAATCAAACAGTACTTCATACATGGTATGCCAAAATGAGTTCAACTGATTAAAAAAAAAATCAATTTTAAAGAATGCTCTAAAAGTCACAGTCCTTGTTTTTGCCTTCGAATTCTTTTGCAATGTGCCTGAAAACGTTTCACTTTTTTATAGTTGAAGAGACCACACAAATGACAACTATTTCTTGCCTCTTGGTAAACCAGAATTCAAAATCATAACACTTGTATTTTACTCAATCGCTCTAAATTTTTTGTAGTCTCCTCTAACTTCAAAATACAAAATTCGATTACATCCTAAACATCATTGTGGTACCACTCACATATGATTTCGAGCTAGGAGTGAGCGTCTTGTTAACTGTCTGCTCCTGAGTCAGGTCAATCTCAGCCAGTGGGATGTTCAACTCTCCAATGGGGTCATTCCTACTGAAGCGGTCGTAGTCCAACACCTCTAGATGCAGGACTCTCTCCTGGAGTTTGTTGTATGGGAAACCTGCAAATACAAACATGATACAGGACCACTTCAGGTTTATGAAGATTCTCTTAACACCATTGCTAGACAATAGGGTGTATTTCGTTTTGGTAGAATAATGAGGAAAGCCTGAAATAAAAACTGTTCACTGTGTGGGTAGTGCAATAACTGGGTATAAAACACAGTGACCAAATATCCAAAAACCTCAAAGAGAACCAAGGTAA